GCACATGTGAGTGTCATGGTCCAGGGTCACCCAAAACTAAAGGAGTAGCAATAGGGACCATCCCCTTACACTCAGGCCTACAGGCCCAGGCCCAGGATGCTGCCCATCCTCCACCCCACCCCTCCCCCTGGTTCCTTGACCTAGTGCTCTCCATCTGTAGCCTCCCTTCAAACCCCTGAAATTTAAATTGGTTTCCTGCCCTTATAACAATCCCTCCACAGCATCTAACCCTGCTGACAACTGCCATCTCTCACTTCTCCAACTCTTAACACATCTCTCATCCTTTCTCCTAAGCAGCTGTTTCCTTCATGGCTTTCACTTCTTCTTTTAACATTTTGTGAATTTGAAAGCTTGCTTTCACATCTTCAGGACACATGCAAACATGACTTTCATTCCCAACCACATCCACACAGAGCTTTCATCTATCATGGACAACTTCCAAATATTATCCAAACTCACACTATCTCCTCCACTGACTCCCACAGGCTGCAAGTGCCTCACGACGATCACATCTTTCATTGTTTGAACCCTTCAAACCATGCCTTTTGTAAACTATACTTTGTTGTTGTTGTTAAGTGCCGTCGAGTCGGTTCCAACCCATAGCAACCCTGAACAGGGTTTCCGATGCTGTAAATCTTTATGGGAGCAGAAAGCCTCATCTTTCTCCTGTGGAGCAGCTGGTAGTTTTGAACTGCTGACCTTGCGGTTCGCAGCCCGATTCGAAACCACTATACTACCAGAGCTCCAAAGTATACTTAGGACTTACTTAATATTATGAAATTAGTTTATGGACATTAAAAGAAATCTTGTTGTTCTTGTTGGATGTCATCGAGTTGGTATCTACTCATAGCAACCCTATGTACAACAGAACACAACACTGCCTTGTCCTGGGCCAACCTCACAACTGTTGCCACACTTGAGCCCACTGATGCTGCCACTTTGCCAATCCATCTCACTAGGGAGTCTTCCTCTTTTTCTCTGACCCTCCACCTTACCAAACATGGTATCCTTCTCCAGCGACTGGTCCCTCCTGACAATATGTCTGAAGTATGAGACATGAAATTTGGCCATATTGGCCTCCAAGGAGCACTCTGGCTGCACTTCTTCCAAAACAGATCTATTGGTTCTTTTGGCAGCCCATGGCACTTTCAATATTCTCCTCCAACATCATAACTCAAAAGCATCAATTCTTCTATGGTCTTCCTTATTCACTGTCCAGCTTTTGCAAGCATATGAGGTTATTGAAAATACCATGACTTGGGTCAGGTGCACCTTAGTCCTCAAACTGACATTTTTGCTCTTCAACACTTTAAAAAGGTCTTGTGCCACAGATTTGCCCAATGCAATACGTTGTTTGATAGCTTGATTGCTGCTTCCATGATTGTTCATAGTTGATCCAAGAATGCAGTCCTTGACAACTTCAATCTTTTCTCGGTTGATAAGAATGTTTATTGGTTCAGTGGTGAGGATTTTTGTTTTCTTTACATTGAGATGTACTCCATACTGAAGGCTGTTGTCTTTGATCTCCATCAGTAAATGTTTTAAGTCCTCTTCACTTTCAGCAAGCAAGGTTGTATCATCTGCATATCGCAGGTTGTTAATGAGTCTTCCTCCAATCTTGATGCTGAGTTTTTCTTCATAGAACCCAGCTTCTCGGATTATTCACTCGGCATACAAATTGAGTAAGTATGTTGAAAGAACACAACCCTGTCTCACACCTTAGAAAGAAACCTTAGAAAGCAAAACATAAGCAGAAATTGACCCGGGTCCCAGTCATAGAAAACCATGAGAACATCCATCCTATTTATGCATAAAATGTCTTCAAAAGTGGATGTTGCGCAGTTTTGCAACATACCTTTCTCAGGTAAAAACAGACCTGTTTAAATCACACTAATAAAATAGATTGCATAGAGATGTGTATCAGCAGCTGCCCCCTGAAGCCTGCCTCCCATTGCTGTCACTATCCCATTGTTAGTTCTGTGTTGGAGCCAGGCTTGGCTCTCCTCCAGATACAAAGGCCTGCTACTTCCTCCATTTGGCTCATCTTCTCAAGCCTCCAACTTCCCTCAGGTCTTATTCTTCACACAAACATTCCTAAACATCCCGTCACCTCCAGTGACCTAAAGCAGAGTTGGCTTAATTCTGTTACCACTACCCCAACAAGCAACTCAAAGGTTTATCCTTGCCAACACCAATGTATGAGTCCACCCTGCAGAAGTTCGGAGGATGTTCACTATAATGTTGCCCCACTGAAAGACCTCCACACTACCCCCAATACGCTCTTTCCCAGTGACTTTCAGGGTCACTGGTACACTTTTCTAGATGATCTAAAACGCTGTAAAACACCTACGTTCTGGTTGTTCACTAGCCAGTAGGTCCGAGTCTTCCCACTCATCTTGCCAGATGCCCACGCCTTTCCAAAGTGTAGATGCTCAAGAGGAAAACAAACTGCACACAGGTTTCTTGAAGGGAGCTGAAGCAGGGCCATTGGTGGCCCCTGACAGATAAATGCCTCCTAACACAAGAACATCCAGACGTTGTGGCATTTGTCCAGGAAGTAAGTGCCCTGGCCCATCCACATGTAGGCCCCTTTATACAGTGAAGGTCTCTTCAGACGAACTTCATTCCCTCTCAGTAGCCATCACCACCTGATACAGACACACACAAACAGAGCGGTGGCAAGTGTAAGCAGCACACTCAGAGCCATGCCCTATACTCCAGGCAGGTGTCAGTCCTGGCACTTTATGTGGCTATAACCATCCTTCTGCTGTCTAACCCTCAAAGCCAGCCCCAGTTCTAGGAATAAGATGAGGTGTCCCACTAGCAGAGCAACAGGGCTAAGACTCATTGGGAAAACTGTGAGATAGACAGCAACTTTTTACCAGCCAGAAGGCAGTGCCTTGACTGTTCTTCAGACTGGATGCCTACAACTGGGAATGTAGCTAAAAGGACTTTATTCTAGAAAGACGTTTCTATGGAAAATACAGGCACACATGTGTACCCAGACACACAACATACACACACCTCTCTAGCTGTCTCCCATCATGAAATTAAGGAATCCATTTCTTTGTAAGACAGGTTTCTTTTATTAATTTTTCCTAAACTTGTCTCACATTTACTGAATGTTTGTCTTAGTGTAAGAAAGTGACCTGGAGCTTTAACAAACCAGTTTGGATAGCAACCTGCAGAAATGCACACAAGTCACCAATTATGGGCCGTGCCTCCAAGAAATCCAATTGATCGTAAGCCTGTCTAAACAGAGAGCAAGCAGACCACATCATCTTATTTCTAGTTTTAACTTTAAGCTTCAAGTTCACCCCATCCCAACACCCACACAAACCCCTCCCCCATTTCAACAGAAAGTTTGTTTTAGAAGAAATGGCCATTAAGAACTTAATCAGGTGTATAATGGTTGGCTTAATCCTGCAGCCAGCATGTCAAAGGAGCAACTAGCCTGGTGGCAGGTTGGCTGAAGCTCTTGAAGCTTGACAGGCAGAGTAAGAGGCTGCTCTAAGGACAGGGCTCCAGTCCAGAGGCCGCAGGGTTTCCATGCATACCAACATATACATACTTCCAGTTACCGTCTCTAAGCAGTTTCTCTGTAGCACTTTCACGCTTGTAACACCCTATAATGTTTCTGTGGAGATGGACAGAAACGAAAAGATGAAAGGTATTATCTATTTCTAACATGGGCCAAATCTAACAGAGAAACTGTGTTATACAGAATATTCATTGTTACAAAGATCCAAAACATAACCAACAAACCTTCTAAGAGTTTCTAAGGTAGGTACCAGCTCTGGTCTCTAATACAGGTTTAGGGGCTTCTGTTATCCAGATGACCAACATGTCTTACTCCTCTCAATACTGCCCCAAAGAACAAGGAATGCTTTGGTGCACCTGGTATTGGCTACAAATGAGGAGATGTTGACAATGTCGGGCAATCCACTTCTTTAACACTAAATTCAGGCTCAGCCAGTACAACCCAGTGTATCTAAATTTTCTGTGTGATCTGTCACCTGTTTTAACAAATACAAATTGGCAGAATTGTGACAGATACTAACACTTAACACAAAGTGATTGTGAATGAGCTAAAAATCAAACTTGAGTCTTGTCCTAGGAGAGGAAACGCGACTTCAGATTTAAACAGAACAGGTAGCTCCCACCTTAGTAAGTAGGCAAGAATACAAACCTTTATGACATAATTAATAATCAATACTTCAGTTAAAATCACCAAGCTTCTATCCAACAATACATCTACCCAATTCTAACTTCCTGAAGAGAAAATTATGTAGACTTTCATGCTTGGGATATTAATGAACAGACTTGTAAGAAAGACACTCCAGGTCTGAAAACTAATGGCTTTTTTTTCAGGTTATAGAGTTCCTTTCCTATTTTAAAAAAAAAAAAAAAAAAGCCCATACATGGCATTTGTAAAAGGTTCTTTTTTTGGGGGGAGGGGGGTTGCAGAGCAGGAGTGAATGACAGTGTGAAGACAGCCAGAGCATACCTTTCTGTTTTTCTCTGTTAATCCATACCATGTTATGCTCTAGTTCCTCAGAAATAGAGGGAGGCCCTCCCCAACCCTCAAGCCCCACACCCACAACGGGCAGGGAGCCTTTGTGGCACCCCCACAACAGATTTCTGAAACATAATTAGAGCTCCTGCCATATAGGTCCATAATGAAAAGTCTGCTTAACACTTAAGTTATCGCTTTAGCTGTATAGCTAAAGCTCAACTTTCCAAAACAAACTTATCTTTATAGAAGCAAAATTAAACATAAAGGAGTGAAGCTTAGCTCAATAAGACTAACTGAGCTTCTAAATAGTACCATTATGAAAAAAGATACAATGCACTTAATTTCTGTATCTAGCTATTTAGAAGTCAAAATTATTCCATACATTACCTATATCCCCCTCCCCTGAAGACCCCTAAAAACTGACTAAGAAATCTTTAGTATCTGCTTGCTCTAGATATTTAGAACAAAGTTGACAACTTAAAGCTTTATAATAGTCTGTTTTAATATAAACAAGTGTTAGAATCAATCAATGTCCATTTCAGGAAGTTTCTTGTCAGAATCTGAAGGTACAGCTTTGTCTGCACCATGCTCCGCAGCCTGAGGCCCTGGATTGTCTCCTTGTCCATCCACTGGTCCATTCTGCTCTCCATTTTTTTGCTCCTCTTTAGGAGGCTCCACTTTGGGCTTTGGCTTTGAAATTATAGGACTACAAACACTTATCAGCTCCTAGAATGAATAAAAAAATTGTTTCTTAGAAATTCACCAATTTTGTATCACACATAAAACCCAAGTTCAGCCTTGCCCACCAAATTCCCAACTGGAAGCCAAATAAGGTTGCCTCCTATTACTTTGAAGGTGCTGACGGTGTGCCACCAAGTCAATTCTGCCATATAGCAACCCTGTATAGGTTTCTAAGGAAAAGTCTCACCTTTCTCCCACAGAGCGACTGGTAGATTCAAATTGCTGATCTTACAATTAACAGTCCAGTTCATACTCCACTACCTTACCAAGGGTTCCCTGAGGGCTGTTGTGGTTGTTATTGTTAAGTGCCATCGAGTCAGTTCCAACTCCTAGCAATCCCTTATAGGGCTTCCGAAGAGTGGTTGGAAGGCTTGAATCACCGACCTTGTGGTTCAAACTGACATTGTGGTTCAGTGCATTATCCCGCAGCACCACCCCAGGACTCCTGAGAACTATTAATGTTAATATAAGACTAATAAGAAAGAATATTAATAATTGCATTGATTAATATTAATATGTTGTTGTTGAGGGCCATGGAGTCCGTTCTGACTCATAACAATCCTGTATAGGGTTTCCAAGGAGCGGCTGGTAAGTTTGAACCACCAATCTTGTGGTTCAAACCAACCTTGTATTCTGGTGCTTTAACGCACAGCACCACACCATGACTCCAATATTAACGTAAATTACCTTAATTTTAGCTTCAATCTCTTTTGCCTTGATAACTGGATCCAAGGTCAGACTCTGCTTGTTCTGTAGATTCAGCTTATTATTCATCCACTCCATGGCCTCATTTGTGTTTTTTTCTATTGTCATCATGTCAGAAGCATTCAAATGGTCATACTGGTCCTCCTGTAACAAGGAGACAGTCAAAGAGCTACCCAAATACTGCCTACTTCTTCAACATCTTTCAAACACTCTTTCCCAAAAATGGAGCACATTTAGCCTCATGAGCTAAACAGATACTCAATTCCTTAAAAATTCAGGAAAGGAAAAAACAACTTCCATTTTAAAAGCATTCAGGAATGGTTTTTATTTTAAAGTTTAAAAAAAAAAAATGGAAATTGAAAGGTTTCATAAGCATCAAATGGGACGCATGCTTTACACAAAATCTTAGGCAAATAATTTCACATTAGTTGAGATTTTAGGTATGCTAATTCAAAACCAAAATATAACAGCAAAAATCAGGTCTTACACCAAAACAAAGTTTTTAAAAATGTAAGTTCAACTTGAACACTGACAGTCCATAAGAACATGGAATACAGTGAAATGATTAGGCACATAAACTTTGGAGTATGACCTCAGGCTGAATATCAGGGCTCTCCCAATCAACCAATGTTAGGTATTGCTTAAGGAAACTGAGGCTTAAAGAAGGCATCTATAAACATTGGTTAATACCACCTTTGGACTCAATAAGGTAATAATATTTCAGAGTGTTATCATTTTGTGCTCAGACACACACATAAAAGTCATTTATCAATGAGACAGTCCTACATCTGCATAAAAAAAACACATATGCCTTGTATATTCTCAGGAGTCCTGATGTGGCGCTGTGGGCTAATGCGTCAGACCACAAAGTCGTTTGAACTGCAAGGTCCGTGATTCAAGCTCACCAGCTGCTCCTTGGAAACCCTATACAGGGTCGCTATGGGTCAGAATCAACTCAACAACATTTCAGAAAAACTTAAGATAGTGATGGTGGTGTGCCCTCAAGTGAGTTCCAACTCATAGCAAACCTGTGTAGCATTTCTGAGACTGTTAATCTTTATAGGAACAGAAAGTCTCATCTCTCTCCTGCAGAGCAGCTGGTGGATTGGAGCTGCTGACCTTGCAGTTAGCAGCCTACCAAGTAACCCAATATGCTACCAGGGCTTCTTAAGAAACACTAAGAGTTATTATCTTAAGTTGAACAATGAGGGAAGTGTTTCAAAGTCAGAAGGAAATCAAACCATGTTGCTCAATTCCAAGATCTACCTAATAAAAAAATGGAGAAAAATCTACATCTTAATAAAAGTCTTTAAAAAAAGAAAGAAATATCCATTAAAACACTATATATTACATTAACATCTGAAATATGAACACATTGGTAAATTATATTTAGAGAAGAACTGCTATGCAAATGCCTCAAAAATTAACTCTACCAAAACAAGAGGAGGGTAAAGGGGAAAAAAGAAGTACCTTGTTTTTGAAAGAGCTGATTACTTTCATATACTGCTGGATTTGTTTCCCTAGTTCTTCAAATAATTTTGGTCTTTCTTCAGATTCCTGGAACCGTATCTTAATGGGTTGACCTAGATTCTTAACAAGAGAGAGTACACAAATTAAATTCCTCAACTTAAACTACCAGAGTAGTATAGTTTCTGCTGATGCTGTGTGCCGTGGAGGCGATTCCGACTCATAGAGACCCCGTAAAGGGGTTCCCAAGGCTGTAAATCTTTACCGGAGCAGAATGCCTCATCTTTCTCCCGCGGTACAGCTGGTAGTTTCAAACTGCGGACCTTGCGGTTCATAGCCCAATTCATAACCACTACGCACCAGAGCTCTTTAGTATGGTTTCTACTAGTACTAAAAACTATGGATTAAAATACATCTAACCTCCATGTGCTATATATAAGTAGAATATTTTCCCCCAAGTTATTTAACATGTAAGACTGCCTCCAGGTGGGTATGAGAGTATACTTCAGTATCGCTCCATGCAACCACCTCATTTTGTCACCTAGTTCTCAAAATTCAGTAGGGAAATAACCAGAAAGTAGGTGCCTCCTGACCAAGATACACACACTAAATATGACATTTACCAAAAGATAAATTTTAACAGAAAAAAACTTTACAGGAAAAATGAACTATTTACAGATTAGATATAAAGAAGAAACTTGCTTCATTTACATAACCAGAAGAGGGAGGAAACAGGGCCATCAGTTGGTAAAACAGTTGAAGTTGTTAATTCTCTTACATGTTTGACATTCCCCATAATAAAAAGTAAAACATACACAATGGGAAGGACCCCAATGGAAACACATGCTAATACTGCCAAAATGACAGGAAACTGCAGGCTCTTTGAGCCAATTCTATTCAAGAGGTCATTCATAAGAGCCAATTCCTGAAGAAATCAAGTAATCCAAAGCTAGAATGATGGGATATGTGAAAACTTCATTCTTATTCATTTGCATCATTCTCCCATAAAAGATCTCAACTTTAGATACTTCTTTGTATACTTCTAACAGTCAGATTTTGAAAATATAAAACTAGATGTTATTATGGAGATCAATATAGTACAAGGGGGCTTCAATAAGTTTGTGGAAACATGGAATTAAAAGACACTGGAATTTTTCCATGAACTTTTTGAAACCTCATCCTCTACAACAGCCCTGCACAAACTGCACTACAAATTCATTAGGACAGGCAGTGTATCGTACTAGTCTTTACATACTCTTAACATTAAGAACGTACTCAATCTCCAATTCAGTGAACACACTAAAGTCTAAATTCAGTTTAGAAATAATTTTGTATTATTATGAGGTCTTAAAAATGAGAGACAAATAGTTTAAGTCATAAAAGACAATTATTTAAATATTATTTTAGCCTATCTTCTTTACTTGGTATGAGATTTCCTCTAAATCTGAGGCAGTCTCTTTGGGCATTCCAGGAAAGAAATGCTTTCTCACACTATGTTTTGACAAAACAAAAACCACTTACTTTTAACTCAGCCAATTTATCCACATAGACTTGCTTTGGCTGGTCTTCTCCATCCTCATACAACCAATTTTCAGTATCTTCTAGTTTTAAGGAAAAGCTGTTACGGTCCTAAAGATAAAGACAATTTTGTAATCAAGTCAACAAAAAACCAGTTTTTTAAAAAATCTATTGAATTCCCAGTGGAGTTACAGGTGTAGACTACAAAGACCTCCTAAGTGAGATTTGCTTTGAAACATATGATGTCATTGCTAAGTGCCTTCAGTCCGTTCCAACTCACAACAACAACAAATATATGTATATATGGAGGAGAAAAAAAAAAAGACTCTTAAAAAGTATTGTTCCAAAATTATAGAAACCTTTTATTAAATGAAAACATCCTTTGGGACAGAGGTATATGACGATGTATGCACAACCTTGGCTTCAGGATACAGGGCTTGAGAGGCATGGCTTGTAAGGAGAAAAGAGGGGAATAATGTTAGGATGCTGGGCTGTCTTTTGTATCTTGGCTCCCTTGCCTACCATTGTGAAATAGATACTTGGGAGAAGGGAGTGGGGAGGGAATAGCCAGAAAGATCACAACAGAAAACACGTAAGCCCGTCTTCAACCTATAACTGACTGGAATATCTTGAGGAGGGCTGGAAACTTTCCAGACCCAAAATATGGGGGCCTATAAAAGGCAAGAAGTGACTGGTTTACTAGCTTTACAGAGGGAGCCTAGTTCCAGATGGGGCAGGGTTAGGCAGAACTGCCACTGAATGATTTCCAAACTGTTGGGACCGGGCTGACAAAAGGAAATGGGGACAAGACTCTTGTGGAACAACAGTGAATACCTGCCGCCAGGACTGACTGTGAGGGTCAGAAATGTAGAGGCAGATGTTTGGGTTTTTTTCTCTCCTTTTTTTTGGCAAAAGGAGGAGAGTGATTTATTTTACAGCACAGGAGCAGAGGTCCCTGGGACCATTAAGCGACAAGAGCTGAGTATGACCCTACCCAGAGAGGCAGTGAAGCCAAGAATGGAGACAGAGATGATGGCGTGGACAGATAAGAGTGGCTGGGGACACGGGACTCAGGAAGGGCGAGGAGCTATTTGCTGACAGCCAGGGGGGGTGGGCGTGTGGGTGTATCCTTTGGTTATTTGATGATGCATGGAGGGGATTGTAATCATAACAGTGAAATCAAATACAATAGGATGAATGTGAAGCTGAATTGGGACAGAGGCAAATAATGATGTATGCACAACCTTGGAACAATAGGGCTCTGGGATACAGGGATTGAGACATGGTTGGAATGAGCAAAAGGGGGGAAATAATGTTAAGATGCTTGGCTGTCTTTTGAATCTTAGTTTCCCTGGCATACCACTATAAAATAGACACTGGAGGGGGAGAGAAAGGAATGGCCAGAAATACCACCATAGAAAGCTTGTAAGCCCATCTTCTGCCTATAACTGACTGGAATACCTAAAATGGGGCTACAACATGCACATGAAGGAAGCTTCCTTCGGAGCCTCTGCATTACACAAAACCATAGGTGGAATCCTGAACAGCATCCAGAATCTTCTGAAGGGAAATTTCCACTTGAAAGGACACGCAGACCAGCCTGGAGTGGCCAAAAGAACAGAAGATACTTCCTGAAAGACTGACAGGAAAAAATACAAAACCCTATAGGAGACCAACTGATTATAAGAACAAACAAGTGGCTCACCCAGGACACATCAAGGCAAGTGGTTGGGTCCCCTCAGTGTAAACCCCCTTCTAAAAGACTAAGACTCAATGGGAATACACGCTCTGATTGGTGACCACGTCACCGATAAGGGGAAGTGAAGGAAAAACAGCAATGAAGCTGCAAGCTAAGCCCTCAAACGCTCAATAGACTCCTGTGAACCCAGATGTAGACCTGGTTGTCCAGCAGTGTGTCAAGTCCAGGGGACTCTTGGACCCAGAGTCAGTGACATAGCCACAGAGGACTAGAATGGAGAATGAAGCGTCCAGCAGATAGGAAGAGAAGGCATATGCACAAGAACACCCACACTTACAGATAATATCCACTTGACCTGCCTTCAATGGCTGATCAAAGAGCAATGAGAAGAAAGAGGGAAGAAAAAAAAAAAAAGAGTAGCCTGATACAATTTGATGAACTTGGCCTACACCTATGGAAGCAGTAGCTCAAAAGAGGAAACAAATCTTCGTAGCGAATATCATTCCCACCCCTCCACACATGAAGAGGACAGGGATGGGCAACTGGGTTATTGGCTACCCAGAATAGGGAGGCTACAGAGGTAAGACGTGACTGGCTTACAAGCTTTCAAGAGGGTACCTAGATCCTGAGGGAGTGGAGCAAGGTAGAATCTCCACTAAGTAGTATGCAATCTATCTGGGCGGGGCTGATGAAAGGAAATGCGGATAGGTCTCTTGTGATACAATAGCGAATAATTGCTATCAGGACTGATTGTGTAGTGGTTGGTGGTTATGTGCCATGGAGTCAGAACCGACTCACAGCGACCCAGTATAGGGTTTTCTAAGCTGTAAATCTTTATAGGAGAAGAAAGCCTCATCTTTCTTCTGAAAATGTAAGGGTAGACGTTTTGTGTTAAAGGGAGGAGAGTGATTAACTCTGAAATCTAGGAGCGGAGGTCCCTGGGACCATTCAAGGGAGGAGAACGGAACCATGCCCAGAGAAGCAGTGATGCCAGGGATGGAGGCAGAGACGATGTCATGGGGAGATGGAGCGGATGGGGACTTTGGACATGGAGAGGGAGACGGGCTGTGTGCAGACAACCGGGAAGCAGGCTTGTGGGCTATATACCCTTTGGATGATGGATGATGCATGGAGGGGACTGTAACCACGACTAAGAAATGATATATGACAGGATCAATGTGAAGCTTATATCCTCCCATGTAAACTATCACATAATTCACAATAAAGCATTAAAAAAAAAGAGGAGTCTAAAGCCAAGGGGAAAAAAAAGATACTCCCTGAAAGCATATCACTGTTCTTGTTGTTAAGTGCCATCTAGTCAGTTCCGATTCATAGCGACCCTATGCACAACAGAACGAAACACTGCCTGGTACTGGGCCAACCTCACAATCGATGCTACACCTGAGCCCATCAACTACACCACCATGCCCCGATCTACTTCGTTGGGAGTCTTCCTTTCTCAGACCCTCTACTTTACCAAACATGATATCCTTTCTCCAGGGACTGGTCCCTCTGGACTACATGTCTAAAGTATGAGAAACAAAATCTGGCCATCCTGGCTTTGGAGGAGCTGTCCTTCTTCCAACACAGATCTATTTGTTCTTTTGGCAGTCCAGGGTACTTTCAATATTCTCCAACACTATAACTCAAATGCATCAATTCTTCTACAGTCTTCCTTAATCACTGTTATATCTTGATTAAAGAATATTATTTACAATAGCCACTCCAAAGATGAGGAAGTACTTAAGAATAAATCTCACCAGAGAAGAGACCTCCACAACTCTACTTTCAGGAGGCAGCTCTTCCCCAATTGCATTCTGAGTGCCTTCCAACCTGAGGGGCCCATCTTTCAGCACTATATCTGACAGTATTCTGGTGTTCTTCATCATGTTTCAATATTCATTAATCTGGTACTGACAGTGTTCCACTGCTATTCCTAAGGTTTTAATGACTAACTATTCGGAAGTAGTCCGCCTCTCCTTCTTCCTAGTCTGTCTTCAGGAAGCTCATCTTAAACCTGTCCACTATGGGTGACCCTGCTGGTATTCAAAATAGTGGCACAGCTTTGAGAATCACAGCAACACATAAGACACCACCGTACAACAAACTAACCGAAAAGTGATGGAAAACACATCATACATTATGGCATATACTTACATCTTCACTCACAAACTTCTCATATTCACCACTGAGTTTGTCTCTCATTTCATACACATATTCTTCCACTGCATTCTTAGCATCGTTTCGTTCTTTCTCAAGTTTATCCTGCATGATCATCTTACCCTAAGAACATAATTATTAGACATTAGCACAACTGAGACAATTTCTTCATAAATATCAAGCAATATAATTGTTAAAGTAGAGAATCCTTCTTTCCCCAAATCCTTTTAACTCTGAGTCAACCAAGAATGGGAAGCTAGCCCTTGCTGAATCATGAATATCAGAAGTGAAAGATTTTTGAGTATGCTTTAAAAAAAGGTGATAGAAATAGCAAGACATAAAACACAAACTCAAAAAGTAAATGGTTAAGACAAGAGACCTGTAAAGAAACGAATGGTTAAATGTCATAAGATAGTCTGCTACATTTATTAAGATACCAAAATGAATAAATAAAACTGATTTCTCTAGAAAGACCCAGAGGAAAGTTGATAAGAAATCCCATTGTTGTTACTATTAAGTGCTGTCAAGTGTTAATTATTCAGACTCACAGCATCAGTATATAGGGTTTCCAAGAAATGGGTGATGGGTTTGAACTGCAGACTCTGGTTAGCAGTCAGTACCAGTGCTTACCCCATAGTGCCACACCAGAATTCCAAGAAACCCCTGAGGTAAATTTAATAAATTTGTTTCAGTGTCCCAAGTCACACATCATTCACCATAAAACAGTTTCTAGCATTAGACATAGTAACATCAAGGATCCACTACTTAAAACTGGCATTTGCAATACCAAAAATCTAAATTAATTTTTCACTGAGTGCAAATACACAAAAGTGCATCGAAGTCACTATATCCAATGTCTAAACACATTAATGTCAATCACTCACCTCATTTTCAATGTACAAGTTGAGCATCTCTCTATCTATCTGCCACAATAACTGATTCTCAATAGGGAGGTCCACAGTACTGATCTTCACTTTTGCCTTCTTGGCTTGAGGCGGTTGGTCCATTTTTTTGTCCTTTGATCCAGCTTGAGAAGTCTAAAATAATAAAAATCATGACTAACGAACACATATACAGACTATCATAAACTTCCAAATAGGTCACATTTCAAAACCTATTTTTGTTTTTTAAAAATTTGGTTTGATTTATGAAGTCTGATGATCAAAACAACTCAAATATTGTTTCTTACAACAGATGGAGAAGAAAAATACACAAAGAAAACACCCTTCCACAATCCCACAATCCACATACATTAACTAGTTTTCCCTTATTTTCAACTTTTATCTAAATACATAGAAATGGACATGAAATTAGTGAAGAGAATATGGAATTTTTATGGATCAGTAATATATTGTCAATATGATTTTCAAAATGTCTGTCACTACTTACAGTCTCATAAGGAATGAGAGAATCCCTCCCAATGCATCCTGATTAGCAATGAAAATTCATTTAACTTCAGTCAGCTATTTTTTATTAATTTCTTTGTGGATATATCTTTTCTAACACTTACTAACTATGCTAATTTCTTCTTCAAATTGGCTACTCATTTTATCCACTGTTCTCATTGATGGCATCAAGTGTGGCAGCGGTAGTGAGGTTGGCCCAGGATCAGACATTGTTTCGTTCTGCTGTGCATGGGGTCACTATGAGTCGGTTCCAACTCATGGCACCTAACAACAATAACAAACCATGCTATTCTGGAAGGAGCTGCCCCTAAACTCTGTGCTTCTTTCTTTCCCTAACCCTCCACAGATAAATAAGAGAACAAGTACTTCTCTCTACCACTACTGTCTCCAACCCACCTAAAAGCATGAAAGATTTTCCATCTTGGTAACATCAGTGAAAATAATTTGCTTTACCTGTTTTTCATTTATTTTTTTTAATTTTTAAAAGACTACTGAGCTCAGCAAAAGAAAGCAATTAAAATTTGCTGACTGACTGAAAATAGCTAGCAAACGTGGGCCCACTATCTTAAGGCTCTAAACGACCAGGTCTGCACTGCTGACCTTGAGTTTAGCAGTCCAGTGCTTATCAAACAGTGCCACACCAAGACTCCAAGAAACCCCGTAGGCAACATTTAACCAATGTGTCCCAAGGTCGCAAACTTAAAAATAGCACAATCAGAAATATCTAAGAGAGTGAGGTTGAACAGCTCAATTTCATAAATATTCGCATAAGCGTCAAAAACAAAAAGATATATTTCTCAGAGGCAACAAAAAAATATTTTAGATGTAATTTTCATTACTGTTTGTCAGTAAACAATAAATTCTTCTTAGAAAAAGTATTAGCGATGGTCAGTCAGAGACAGCCAGGAGTTAATCACTCACCTAGTGAAAACAAGACCTTCTAAGAATTTTCTTCCCTTGTACCAATTAGAAAAAACTTCAAAGGTATGCTTACTTTCCAATTATACAACAAAATCATGCTAAAAGTTTTTCCAAATACAAAAATTTCCATTTTAACTATCTTCCAAAAACAGTTTGTCAGCCAGAACCATGTATATCTTAAGAGACACTGTAATATACACTAAAAACACAACCCATACATACCTCCATTTCTTCAGACTCTGTCTTATTTTCTGCTGGTGTCTGCTGCTGTTGCTCCTCAACGTGTGGTTCTTCCTGGTCTACTTGCATCTTCTGAAAAACACATCAATAACTAAAACTACGACATTGGCCAAGTGTTACAGCATGAAATGTGTGCTAACCTATCAGCAATCAGAACACCTAAGCTCAGGTCCCAGCTATATGTAACAAGTTACCTACAGCAGGAGGTTTTTTGCTCTGCCTCTCATATTAATACATATGTACATTTGTGCTATCTTTATATAAACAAGAGTCAGTGTGTACTTACTGGGTAAATCACAAAATACTAAAGTACATAATAATGTGGCATCATATAGCACAATTATCTATCTGTAAAGAGTGTGAGTTTCTACATGCTTCTTGAGCAGCTTTCTCTGAAAAGCCTTACCTTTCCAAGCTGTTCTTATATTAGTCTTTTCATCCTTAAACGTACAACCATTGCATGAGAGGATATGAATATCCTGAATGTTCTGCTACAAGAACAAAGCCTAATAACAACAACTCAGGGAGAAGCTTGTGACGCCATGATTCGCACTGTCTGCAGCACATTACAAGGACCTGGGAGGCTTTTCAAACTCTTGATATCTGGGATCCAGCACAGCTAACAAAACCTCTGGAGGTGAGGTCCAGGAAGTTGTATTTTTACAAAGCTAGTTGTCCAGATGATTCTAATACCCAGTAAAGGACAAGACTTAGTATATGAGCCAACAAGTAAGAGTGCACACTCTATTCTACTTGAGAAAATAATCAAGTGGATTCCCCATTCCTAATAATCTGAAAGAATCTAGACTAACTCTCATGGTGTGAAGTGTCTGGTTGGGGAGTTGGAAGAAGGGAGCCAACTACATCCCATTCATATACAAATCCTATGCACAGATTTTCTGCTGGTTTACCCACCCTGAATGAAGAGAATGCACTAGAATTTCTAAATAAGACACCATCATACAATGCATATATGAAATATCCAGATTACCTCTTCCTCCTTTGCATTCTGATCTGTTTCCATGGGTTCCTCATTTTCCTCAGACTTGTGAACTTCCACTAGGGATGCACTGGACACACTAAAAATGCCATGGACATTTACTCGAGCCTTAACTTTCACTTTTGAACTGGAGCCATCAGACTGGGCAGTGACTTTCTGAACTGAAAACTGAGCTAAGGAAAAATGAGAAACAAAAGAACACAGCCTGAGAGAACGAAACCAGAACATGCTCACATTGCCAGGTTATGTGTATTTCTCAAACACCAGCCAGTAACTAATATGCCACTTCAAAGTGAGTTAAGTCAGTACTCTTAACATTTCATTAAATTGTCAGAAGTTCATTCTCCTTTTGTATCTAGTCAAACTTTTATTTTCCTGTCCCAAATGAGGAATCAAATACCTCCTAATTTCTTCCTTTCCGCCAGTACTTTTTTTTTTTTTTTAAATAAGTCATGTTTATTGAGCTTGGTGTTTATTGAGCACCATAGAAAAATTAGTAAATAAACTAAGAAGCCCAAATCATACCTGTTTAACAGATATGCTGACATTTTTAGTATTACCGTTCTCTATTTGCTACTATGCACATACACCTGTGGTGAGCAGCAATGGAGTCAATTCTAATATACGCCTAATTACATTTTTTCAAAGTTACAGCCTCATTAAAATATGACACACATATTGACTCACCACTTTACATTGTACAAAGCAATGGTCTCCGATATAACCACAAAACTGTGCAACATGACCACAATCAACTCCAGAATACTTTCATTACTTACGTAAGAAACCACATGCCCATTAGCAATATCCCTATTACTTCCCTTCCACCTCAGCCATAGGCTAAGGCTATTCAGCTTTCTGTCTCTACATCTACATTTTTGCCTATTCTGGACATTTCATATAAATGGAGTCACACAATGTGTGGGGTTTTCCTTACTGGCTTTTAAAAATTCACTCAGTTGATTGTTTCCACTTTTCATTCGTGCTATGACATGCATCAGTACATTTCTTTTATTAATAACAATATGTCACTATATGGACATACTATACCAACATACCAATTTGTACAGGAATTATTTTGGAGGTGATTAAAATATCCTAAAATTAATTGAATTAGTAACTGCACAATTCTGGGAATACATGCAAAAACATTGAATTGTACACTCCAAATGGGTGAACTTATATACTATATGAACTATATTTCAATAAAGCTGTTATGGACTCCTGGTGTGGCACTAGATTGTGGATCAGCACTGGACTGTGGACCACAAGGTCAACAGTTCAAACCTATCAGATCAAACCTACCAGCTACTCCTCAGAAACCCAATACAGGGTCGCTATGAGTTGGAAGCAACTTGATGGAACTTAACAAAGTTATTATGAAAAATTATACTTTATATTACAATGTTCTATTCCCTTTAAGATTTAAAACCTCAGAACACTATACAGGGTTACTATAGTCAGAATCGACTCAACTACACTTAACAATAATGAGTATTATTTATGGAGTCCTGGTGTGATGTTATAGTGTAAGCACTGGGTCACAAGCAATCCAATCACCTTGGTGTACAGAAACACCTCACATTTACATAGCCCTACCAAGTCATTAAGGTGCTCTGGCAGCATAGTGGTTACGAATCGGGCTACAAACCGCAAGGTCAGCAGTTCAAAACTACCAGCTGTTCCTTAGGAGAAAGATGAGGCTTTCTGCTCCTATAAAGATTTACAGCCTCAGAAACCCTATGCAGGGTCGCTATGAGTCAGAACCGACTCCACAGCACACAGCCGCCACCACCAAGTCATTGGAAGTCCTGGTTGGCGCTGTGGGTTAATGCGCCAGACTGCAAAGCCATTTGAATTGCAAGGTCGGCAGTGGCTCCTCGGAAACCCTATACAGGGTCGCTATGCATCAAAACCAACTCATCGGCACTTAACAACAACAAACCAAGTCATTGAGGAGTCCTGGTGTGGCACTGTGGGTTAATGTGCCAGGCTGCAAAGCCTTTTGAACCACAAGGCTGGCGGTTCAAGCTCACCAGTGGCTCCTCAGAAACCCTATACAGGGTCACTATGGGTCAAAACCGACTCAACGGCATTTAACAACCAGATCATAAAGGAGAAGCTCTGGTGGCATACTGGTTACAAATTGGGCTGCTAACTTCAATATCAGCAGGTCAAAACTACCAGCTATGCCACTGGAGAAAGATGTGGCTTTCTGCTCCCATAAAGATTTACAACCTAGAAAACCCTATTCAGGGTAACTATGAGTTGGAACCAACTCCACAGCACATCACCACCACCACCACCACCACCACCAAGTCATTGGGGTCATGGAGTCCTGACCCCTAGACATTCCTAGAAAACCCTATACAGGGTCCGTATGAGTAAGAACACTTAACAACAATACTATTTATAGGGTCCTGGTGTGTCACTGTAGAATAAGCACTTACAGATAACTACAAGATCGGATTTCATCTCTAAACACTCTATTTCAATTTGATGCCTTGTAAGAGTTTAATTATTGTTGTTAAGTGCCTTGGAGTTGGTTCCAACTCACAGTGACCGTGTATACGGTTTCCAAGGAGCAGCTGGTGGGTTTGAACCACAGATATTGCAGCCAAATACATTATCCTACAGTGACACAACAGGGCTCCAGTTTACCTTTATCCTTTAAATAATAATAAAACTTTAATAAGCTTAGGCTAACTATAAAGGTAAAACTCTCTAGACTAAGACTCAATTTTTTATTGTTGTAAACTCTAGACCTTTCTTGTACCAATTTATTGTTACATGCTGCTGCCATGTAAATTTCTAAAATACATGTGTCACTCAGATTCATTTCTAATGGAAAAGTTCCAAGGTATCCACTATGTCACTCGTCAAGAAATTAACATTTCTTGATCCAGTTATAGTTTCAGAGTTTTAATGTTTTTAATTCACACGCTAACTGGGCAATGTATGAATTACTGTTTTCATTGTACAAATGAAGAAATAAAGGGTAGATTAACTTTCCAGTTTATAAGGTCCATTCAGGATATTCCTAATACTTCTACTCATTAGTCTGTAATGATGAAATTCTACCTTCTTTCTCCATAATTGTTTACCTGAATATTGTAAGAGTTTCTACGAGACTTTTAAGGATTTGAGTCAACAAGTCTGCAAAATCTATGCAGTATTGTTACTGCATCATACACTTCACAAGTTATCTGCAGTGTACATCTTATAGCTGCTAAGGTCAGAAATGAATTTAACTCTTTCCAGTATTCCGAGACCCCTTAACATACAAAGCAGACTGCAGTGTGCATTAACAGAAACACTGTCCACACAAACAGAGAGAGATCCAATAAAATACTGGTAATCCACCTGGTTCTGTTGTGGTAACCAGATAGGAAAAGGTTTTCTCTTATCATCTAATGCCATGATTACAAATCTTTCAGATTATTATGTTTGCACTTTCTGCTCTATCCCATTTCCCTAAGTCTATATAAGTTTTATTTCCCAGCTCTTTACTTACCTATAGCAGGATCTGGATAGGGCAAGTCCTGAGGAGAGCTATAATAAGCTTCAAGAGTGAAAGGTTCCTTTCTATAAAAAGTGAGGACTTTAGAGAAAGGAGCAGGATGATTTTTTGGAAAGACTTCACAGTCACTGAAAGGAGGAAAAAGACAAAAACACAGAAATTTAGAATATTCCTAACACTTTTATTCATACATTCTAAGGTTTTCAAGACTTTATACCTGCTGTTTTCCAACTGACATTACTTCCAGATTATAAGAGTTTCTGAAAATTTCTAAATAAAATCTGTAATATACTTATGTATGTGCATACACACATGAGGGGGCTTCAAAAACTTAATGGATCTGAAAGATAATAGAAGTTTTCCGTTAACTTTTTTTTAAAGTCCCTATATATACGTAAGGAAATGGTTAATGTTCCCTATATATACATAAGGAAATGGTTAATGTACCAAAAGGAAATGGTTAATGTTCAACCATTTCAAGAGATACCATAT